CGACTGGGTTGGTGACTGGAATTTGTGGGATCCTGCATGGAAAACAAATCCGTTAATAGCTGCTCAGTGTGGGCACGATAAGGAGTGTGCCGAGGACGGCTCCTTTTGGATGGAGTGGCGTGATGTCGTGTGTTGCTTTCACGGGTGTGGGGCCTGCTTCACACACAACTTGTTTTATGAGTACCGTGTGGCGGGACAGTGTGGGAAGGGAGGTGTCCCGGGGTGTGTGATTAAACTGGAAGTGAGCCGTCGCATGTACATTTTGGGAATGCTGCAGCAGGAGGTGCGGGGGGTTGAGGGAATGCTACAGCCCATTTTGCTCCAATTATCGCGACGATATGTACCCGAGGCCACGCAAATGCCTTCTTCTGTTGATGCATTGCACAATGAAGCCAATACGAAGAGTCAGCAATCATTGAAACGGTCCGATGCACGAAAACAGGAAGTTGTACTGAATTCTACGGCGGACTGCGACTGTCCCAGCCCCGATTTGTTAACATTCCGCGCGTCCTCGCAGGTGAGTTTCATTTGTGAGCTGCTCCCGGAGTACAGTCCGTATTATCTCATTCCCCGCACCACATCGGATGAGATGGCGTACGTCTTGGGCCTCTTCACCAGTGTTCCATGCGGCAGGGGAGGTGTCGGGGACGGGGCTCCTGCAACGAGGAGTGCGCCTGGCCTCTCCACCCCGCTCCCCACCGCCGGTGGGTCTTTTGCGCAGGCAAAATTTATGCGTCTTTCATCCAAGACAAGAGTCTTTTCCAACAGTTTGCGATTTGAGGTGAAATCAGAGACACCGGTGAAGTGCCGGTATCAGGTGTCATCCCCGACAGCCTCCCCGCTCACGTTTCCCTCAAAGTTTACTGACAACTGTATAAGATAGACTTCCCTTCCTCACTGTTTCTTTTTTTTTTTTGTTGTTGTTACTCTTCCATGGGCGTGTTGATGGATGCTTGCATGTGCGGTGTGATTGCAATTATTTTTGTTGTTCTTTACTTCTCCTTTTCCCGCTCCACAAGTTTGTACATGTCATTCATTTGTATTATTATTATTATTATTATTGTGTGTTTTGTGTTACTGATTGCCACTTGGGCAGCCTTGTACTGGCTGTGCCACATCTTTCCCCCTTCTCTTCCCAATCATTCGTTTCTAATTTTTTAAATTATCTTTCATTAAACAATCACACAAAATAATGATGATGTTCACTTGCTTCTTTTCCCTTTTCTTTTCTTCTTGACGCACATGTGCACCATTTATACAACGAGGAAGAATACGAAAATACACACACAGAGTAACACGCCTCTTGGCAAGTTTTAATTCAGCCCTTTCCCAGCGTTCTTCAAAAGAATAATTGCAACAACAACAAAGAAGAATGGGCTCGTCTACCTCGAAGCATAATCCCAGGGAGCTTCTCGCTACACCCGCCATGCGCGGTGCCGTTGAGGAGTGGCTTTTTAACGGACTTCTTCTCAGAATCATTGATCGCAACACGGGCACCTGGGCGTTCTTCAACAACTCTAGAGACTACGAGTTTCATGTTGCTTACCTGTTAAACCCGGACAGCGCGGTGCAGGCTCTAAGCAAGACAATCATTACGCCCCAAGACGATGGCGTGCTTTGCGAGACGTCCGTGTACCCGCTAGAGACGCAGAGGTTCTTTGTTGGCGATGTCACTGGCTTTGAGAGCAAAATTGAGGCACTTCCGCTCTCGGCTGAGTACCTTCAGTCCCACGCAGATATTGATGAACGCAAATACTACCGCCGCCTCATACCCCCCAGTGCTGCCACCTTTTAGACGCGGGCCGAGTGACATGAACGCACGGAAAAGGGAAAAAAAAAATCCCAGGAGAAAAGGGGAGACATCTGAGGGGAAGAGTGTACAGGAGGTCGAGTCTGGTTTGATCCGTTTTTTTTTAAATTTTATTTTGTTTTTTTTGTTTTTTCTCTGAGTGTTTATGATTCGTCTTGTTGCTTGCTGAGCACGCACACCCCGTATGAAATGAGGCCCACTGAACTGTGCATCTTACGCGAGCCCTGGCAGAGTGGAAGTCAACGAGGAAGAATGAGGGTGGAGCGTGGTGCCTTTATTTATTTATGCATTTTTTTGTGTGTGCATGCATACAACGACGACGAAAAGAAAAAACTGATTTTTTCTTTCTTCCAGAAAATCTGAAATTATGTGCCCTAAATTCATAGTTTTTTTTTTTTTTTTCATATATTTATTTTATCTTCTTGTCTTTGTTATTTGTGGGAAATGTTTTTTTTTTTCTTTTCTTTGTACTCATTCTTTCCTTTGTTTTCCGGACTTTTCGCATCTCTCCCTTTCTGCAAAAAATCTTTTTCTCCCTTTTTATTTTCTGCCTTTTTTCTTCATGTGCATGATTTGATTGTGAGGGGCGGTGGACCGCTGTTGCTGGTATTTTGCCAGTCGTCACGCCCACGAACATTTTTTCTATTACGTGACCTTTTTTTTTCCCCACCCCCACCCCCTCCGGGCACCCACCACCGCACATACACACAAATGCCAGTGAATAAAAGAACAACGGGGGACTTTCCCTCTGTGGAGGGTCAGATGCGGGCGACGAGATTCAACTGACATGCCTGGATGTATGCGTTTTTTTTTTTTGTCTCTGTGTGTGTGTGTGGGTTGTGTTGTTGTTCTTTTCTATGTGCAATGTAGTCTTCGTTTTTGCGTGGTTGAGTGCAACTTCTTCTACGCACCCTTTTACTATCATTGTTATTATTATTTTTGTTGTGGTTGCTGCTTTTTTTTTTTTTTTCCATCTTTTTTTCTTACATGGAACAGACGTTTCCAGGGGGCGGAGCTCAAGAAGGAAGAAGAAAGAAAAAAGAAAAAAAAAGGAAAGAAGGGACTTCTCTTTGCCATTACTTTTATTATTTTGTTGTTGTGCGTGTCGATTACGCGGTATCATTGTGCGAATATATTGAGCTGTAATAATGGGGTCGAGCTCTTCCAAGTTAACTTACGAGAATGGGAAACCGACCTTCGGTGAGGCAACGCATGTGCACCCTATGTTTAACGGCTTGCTGTTTCGTCTGAGTGACAGGAAACACAACCGCTGGGCCTTCTACAACGACTCCATGGAATATGCTATCCACGTCTCCATCCTCTTTGACTACGACAGTCAGGTTGTGCCACTTGGATTGGCCACCGCCTACCGCGTCGACGACCCCGAGGTGGGGAAGGAGGACGACATTGGGAAGTACGTCGTGGAGGTGGACGTCGCGCCCCTCGCCACGGAACTGTTCGTTGAGGGGAGAGTCACCGGTTGGACGGTTGACACCCTCGAGGCACGGACGGCCGCAAACGAGCAGGATTTCCGTCTATAGGAGCGACGAAGAGGCGGCACAAACACACAGACACACACACACGCACGTACGTGAGGTGTGCACTGCAAGAGAAGCAAATAATACTAATTAAAACAAGCAAATAGCAACACCAACAAAAAAGAAATTCCAGACATCGTCGCAGGGATTGGCAGTGCGAGGAGGTGTGCGTATCAACCGAAGAAGAGGGAAACGAAAGGGAAAAATGAGTGAAGTGTTATCATATATATCTAATTTTTTTTTTTGTTTGTTTGTTTATTATTTTATTTTTATTTTTGTTTTTCTGAGGGGTGCAGAAAAGACATGAACAGAAAAAAAAGGAAGGTTAGGGTGGGTGGCGGTGAACATGGCGCCGAATCCTTGAATTGCCTTCGCTGGCCGTTGTCGTTCAGAAACAGGATTGAGCTTTGGGTGAAAGGGGAAAAAAAAAAAAAAAAAGGAAAAAGGAAAAAAAAAAGAAGGCGAAGGCGGCATCCGCACGCAACACTTTGTAATCCATCATCGTTGTCGCCATTGTGGGTGAAATGTACAGCCTGATAAGCAAAGAAAGAAATATTAACAAAGAGGGATAAAAAACAAACAAACTAAAAGCAATGACATTTTGTGAGTTCCGCAGATGTGGATACCATACATATATATATATATTTATATATGCATATGTAAGTGTGATTAGAGATGTGTCTATGCAGGGCAGCTAAAATTATATCTTTGGCTCCTTCCACCGTTTTCTTTTATTTTTGCTTTTAAGTACCCTGAAGTTGCTGTGACATTCTTCTGTCGTGGCTTCATTTATTTATTTATTTATTTTTGTTATTTTGTTTATTATTTTAACGCGACTTTTTTTTTTTTTTTCTTTATTACCTTTTTTTTTATTTGTTGCCTTTGTGTACATGTCGTTTTTTTTTTTTTTTTTCATTCTATAGGCGTGTGTGTTGTTGCAAACTCTGTTACGGTGTCAACTCGCAACTCCTCGCTGTGTCGTGTGCATGTGCATATGTGTCTTTGTGTATTTTTTTTTGTGTGTGGTGGTGGCGGCGGGCCTCCCAGATGTTTAAAACTTTAAGCGACACATAGAAATTCACTTGTTTATTTTCATGTGTGTTTGCGTGAAGACGTTTTTCTTTACTTTTTCTTTTTTTTTCTTCTTCTTGCATCTTCGTCAGCGTTGCGTTGTCGTGCTGCTGTAGGTGGATTTTTTCTGCCGGAAGCAAGCCAGGGAGAAGCGCACGGAGGAAAGGGAAGAGGGCAGGCCCAAGGACAACAAGAACAACACCCACCTAATAATAGAAGCCGTTGCAGGAGCGAGGAGCGGGGGAAAGAAGGGCGCTGCACAGGGCGGTGGGTGGGTGAGTGGGAGTTTGCTGCAGAAGGTCGGCGGACCGGTCACGGCCTCTTTTCATCTTTATTTTTATTTTTAGCTTCTTTGCTCCTTCGCCGTTTCCCCCCCCCTTCTCCTGTGCAGCACACTGGGGAGGAGGGAAACATTCTTTGCTCTCTCCTCATCTGCCGTCTTTCTGGGCGTGTGGTGAGCCGTGTGTGGACACGAAATTCTTTTTTTTTGGTGGGTGGGCGGGGCGGACTTTATTTGTGGCTACCGATTTTGTGGTTGGAGGTCACACGCTGCTCGCACCACCGTTTGCACATTTGGAACGATGACTTCCGAGGAGGAACCGACGCAAACGCGAGTTGAGAGCTCATCGTCGCCACGTGGCTTCAGAAGGGTGACCCTAACTGCTTCCGTGTTGAATGAGGCAGAGAACGAGCAGGGTATTCCCCTGGAGCCTTGCACTGACGCCGAGGTGGAGGCGATGGAGCGTCAGCGGTGGGGAAGACTGGTGCAGGAGGGCTTGTTCCACCAGAGTCTCCATTTTCAGCGGTGGGACGAGGAGGCTTTATTACGGGGATCATTGTACCGCACCCGCGCTGTGGCGGCCCGCACGACGGTGAGACCCACAACGACGGCTGCGCTGGTACTGAGTCTTAACATCAATCCTGTACTTTGGCTGGGCGAGAATGAGAATGAAAAGGGGGATGAGGCGTCTCCAAAAGCTTCTCGTCTATACGTCTGGCGAGCCCCCGCCCTCCTGCCAGGTGATAATTTAAATATTTTGAGTCAACTTGGTCAACAACTTGAGAGTCAGTATCGGTCCCTTTCTAAGCGGCCATTGATTGTAAGTCATTGTCTTAATGCAAGACCGGAGGGCTTTGTGCGGGCTTTGGCTCAATGCCGTCATCAAGCAGGCCCTCAAAAAAAGGTTATTGTGCACTACGGGGGCCATGGTGTGCCGCGGCCGCGTGGGGGGTCACTGTTTCTTTTTTCTTCGAATGGGGAGCCTGTAAATTACTCACTGGACACATTTTCTTCCCAGGTTGGATTTCCGCTTGTTATGGTGGCTGAATGTGCGAACGCTGCGAGTATTCTGCACCACCTTTTAGAAAATCGGCAGAAGGAAGAAGTAAATAACCACTTCACGTACCGTCAGTACGGGACAAATATAGGTGTGTCCACCTTGGAGGAGTCGGAGCGTCCGGATATGGTGCCAGGCTGGGATCGATATGAAGTTGCTTCTGTTGCTGGCATGGAAGGCAATGCAATGAAATCAACCACGAATGCGCCGTTTTTATCAAAATTGCGTGGTTTGGGTTCTGCTGCAGCGTCAAGTACTAATTCACTACTGCACGACGACCTTTTCTTTTTGGGGGCCACAGAGGAGGGTGCACTACCGCGGCACCCCAAACTGCCGTCTGATATC